TGGATATCTTGGTTTAGTTGTCTAAGCCAGCTTTTTGTGTGTGCGTTTCGATGTTTTGTCGGATTCTCAATGTGGCTTGTCAGTGCCTTGATTATTATGTTATTTGGTCTTTTGTTCGCTGTATACCATAGGTTAAGGCGATTTTGCATTATTTTTGTTGCAATGTTGGGCAGTCGAATTTTTTCATGTAGTTGTTGTATGTTGAGTTCCTTCTTGTCTTTGATATTGAGGATTATTCGACGTGCTGTATTAAGGACAGCTTCTAGTCTAGACCAGTCAGTTTTTCTTAATACTATGGATTCTAGACTGTATGTGAGGTGAGGAATGATTAATGTATTGATTAGTGACGTTTTTGTTGATATGTGGAGTTTGTTGCTTTTTAGGATAGGTGAGATTTTAATCAAAGCATTTTTAGATTTGGATATGTTGTGTGTGATTGTGTCATTTGCTGTTCCTTTATTGTTGATTATTGACCCGAGGTAGAGAAAGTTTGTGATTTCTTCAATTTGTTTGTTTTCAATTGTTATTGAGGATTGGTTATCTTGTTTGTTGATTATCATGTATTTTGTCTTTGATATTGAAATTTCCATATTTAACGTTCGAAGATATTTTTGTAGTTCATTTAGTGAGTTGCTTGCTTCTTCTGTATTGTTGGCTAGTATACATAGGTCGTCAGCATATTCTAAATGTTTGATCGTCCAAGGTTCGTTGTTTTGATTTTTTAGTTCGACTCCCTTTAGAGTGTGATCAATTGTTTGTTCAAGAATTTGCTTAAATACAAGGTTGAATAGAGTAGGACCTTCTTTGCTTCCTTGTTTGACTCCTCTTTTCATAAAAAAGTTCAATTTGGTGTTTGCTAGGAAGCCTTTTGGATCGTCTAGTAGTTTATTCATGCATAAGTTTATGTTTCGGGATCGGCATGTTTTTGATAGAGCATTCTGAATTAGTTGCTTTGGTAAAGTTTCGAAGGCTTTTGTTAGATCTACGAAGATGATTATTATTGTCTTCCTTGAGTCAAGGGCGCATTGTATAATATGTCTGATTGTAGTGATTGCGTGACTGGTGGATAGATGCTTTCTGAATCCGAATTGTGTTGGTGGTATTTGATTGTCTATTTGTTGAACTAGTCTATTACATTATTATTCCAGCGAATATTTTACTCAAGGTATCCAGTAAAAAGATACTTCTGTAGTTGTTTGGATCTGATTTCGATCCCTTGTTTTTGTAAATGCTTATTACGTTAGCATTTAGCCAGTGATCTGGGATATCATTTGGATTTGTCCAAAATTGATTCATAATATTTAATAGGATGCTTTGTGGTTTCTCCCCGCCATGCTTGATCATTTCGTTAGTTATGCCACTATTGCCGGGGGCTTTGTTGTTCTTCAGTTTCTTGATGACTGCTTGAAGTTCATGTGTTGTTAGAGGAAGATCATTGAATTTATTCACATTCGGGGATTCAAGGTTTAGTGTTGTTATTGATTGGAAAAGGTTTTGGTAATGCTGTTGAAGTGTTTTGCTATTTATTTGTTTTCTTCGTTGTTTGTATGTTTGGTTTCTTATTGTAGCTAGTAAGTCATCAACCATTTTATACGCCGAGTGTAGGTCATTTTGTTCAAAGAAGGCGTTCATTTCCTCGGCTTTCTTTTGAATGTATTCTTCCTTAGATGATTTTATTTTTTGTTTTAATTGTTTGTTTGCTTGATTGTATTTGTTTTTGTTTTCTGCTGTTGGATTGTTGAGCCATTGAAGTTTTAGTTGTTTTCTGTGTTTGATTTCTTCTTTTAGGTTCTCACTGATTTGTATTTGCCATCGTTTTGCTGCTGATTTTCGGGGATTTTCAGTTAAGGATGCAGCATACATAATGGTTTTTTCTACTTGTGTGAGATCATTTGTTTCATTTAATAGATTTGTTAATAATATAGGATAGTCAGAGGATAATGAGTGTATGGTAGTTCTTGAGTTATTTTGTGTGCATATCTTGTGTGTGTGTTTCTTGTTTGTTTGTTTGTATTTGAGTTTTATTATTGTGGTAAGCATGAAATGATCTGAGTTTGCGTCTAATGATCTTGAGTTGTGTATGTCGCATATTGTAATATTTGGATTGGGCTGATTGTCCAGTAGAATTAGATCGATGGTGTGTGTATCATTTGTGTTTGGGTGCATCCATGTGATTGATTTGTTTTGTGGTTTTTGTATGAATGTGTTCATGACTTTTAATTTGGTTGACTGGCATAGGTTGATTAATCGGATGCCATTTGGTGAGGTGTCTTCTTCTAGTCTGATTGCATTGCGAATAATGTGGGGATACATAGTGTGTAATTCTTGGCTAAGTCTGCAGTTGAAGTCACCCATCAGGACTATTGGTAGTCTGTTTTGTTTTATGCTCATGATTGTCTTTTTTAGTGAGATGTAGAAGTTGTCCTTTTGATTGTCATCTTCTGAAGATTCTGTCGGGGCATAACATCCAATAACGTTGAGGGACTGATTTGTTGATTTGAAGTGGACCATTAATGTTGCAATTCTACCATTTATTTCATTGAAGTGAGATGTTGTGATGTTTGTGTGGTTATTGAGCTCTATATAGGATTGAATTATATGTCTTAAGTTCGTTATTGCTTGGACTGTGGACAGATTTTTTCTAAAACCAAGATCACTATCTTTAATTTGATAAGCTCTTTTAGCTCTGTTTAAGTGGTTTCGTATAGTAGCCAGTATATCATCTACCATTTTGTATGCTAAGTGCAGGTCATGTTTTTCAAAGTATGTGTTCATCTCATTTATTTTATCTTTGATATACTGGTCTTTAGCTAGTTTAATCTTATTATTCACTATTTTACTAGCTTGCATATAGAGGCTTTTATTAGCAGCTGTAGGATTATTTAGCCACTTTAGTCTTAGTTGTCTTCTATGTTTAATTTCGTCTTTTAATAGATTGCTTATGTTATACTGCCATCTCTTGGTGGCCGACTTATATGGGATAGCAGCTTTGTTAGCTGCTTGAGTTATGGCTCTTTCTACTTGGTTTAATTGGCATTTATTTTGGAGTAAGGTGTCTAGTATCTTTGGGTAGTCTGGAGTCAAGGTGTGGATCGCCTTACTCTGTTTTCTTTTGGGTTTACTTTTATCATTAAAAGTCTTATTATTATTTAGATACTTTAGTTTCAGTATGGTTGTGATCGTATAATGATCTGAGTTTGCTTCCATAGAACGGCTGTTATGAATATCACAGACCAATAGTTTTGAATTATTTTCTGTTATCACTAGGTCTATGACATGTCCCATTTGGGTTTTCGGATGTACCCATGTATGGGTCTTGTGTTCTGGTTTAGTGATGAACGAGTTCATTACTCGCAGGTTTAAAGTTTTACATAAGTTTATTAGTTTCATGCCATTTTCTGATGTTTCAGTTTCAAGTTTAATAGCTTTCCCTATAATGTTAGGGTAGTAAGTATGAAGGTCCTGGCTTAGCCTGCAATTGTAGTCTCCCAGGATCAGTATAGGAAGTTTATTTAGTTTAAGCTTTTTAATTGTGTCTTTTAGTTTGAGATAGAATTTTTCTTTACTAACTTCATCATTAGAAGACTCGGTTGGGGCGTAGCAACCGATAAGGTTAATAGTCTGCTTGGCAGTTTTACTGTGTATTTTAATGGTAGCTATTCTGCCATCTACCTCTTCAAAATCGGTGGCAGTTATCATAGATTGGTCATTTACTAGAAAACCAACACTAGTATTTCGGTAGTCATTCATGTCTGGGTTAGAGTTATAAAAGCTTAGGCCGTTGTTATCCATATCAATAATTTTAGAGGTCATTCTAGTTTCCGTGATCACCACCTCCCATCCGTGTGGTGCCCCTTCCAGCCAAACTAGTTGGTGAAGCCTAGTAGGCCCTTCTGGAGAAGAGGCTACATCGAAGCACAGCACAACTACCGGGGCGCAATAGCTGTTTTTGCATTATTTTTTGTCTATGTTTTTACTTCCTGTCCGGTAATTGCTGACCATCTGTGTACTACATAGCAGTGATTTATTATACCTTTTTTAGTTGGTAAAGTCTTGTTGCAGCCTGGGTTTATTTTAACCTTGTTGGGTTGGTTTATCCAGTTACTAGGAAGGCGCTCACCCATTTCTTTAATGTCTTGAAATAGTTGTCTTAACCAGTTTTTAGTATGGGCATTCCTATTGTGTCAATGATTTTCAGAGTTACTATACAAAGCCCTCACCATTAGGTTATTTGGTCTTTTATGCGCTACATACCACGAGTTTAGTCTGTTTTGCATGAATTTACCGGCTAAATTTGGTAAGTTTATTTTAAGTTTAAGTTGCTCAACAGTATATTGTTTTCTATCGTTTATATTTAGAATTATCCGTCATACTGTATTTAACACCGCTTCCGGTCTAGATCAATCTTGCTTTCTTAGTACTGTTGATTCTAGACCATATGTGAGAATGGGGATTATTGAGAACTCCACCATCTTGGCTTTGGTATCAAGGTTGAGTTCTTTAGATTTAAGTAATGGTTTAATTTTAATTATTGCATTTTTTGCTTTTTCTATATTATAGGTGACAGCACTATCCGGAGTACCTTTGTTATTTATGGTAGAACCAAGATAGTGGAAGGATTCTACTTCTTCGATATCCTTGTTGTTTATTTTGACATTTGATGTGATAGCTTTTTTTATTTTTTATCATATATTTAGTGTTGGAGATTATTGCTTGGACTGTGGACAGATTTTTTCTAAAACCAAATTGGGTTATTGTGAGATATTTATCTGTTAGTTCGACAAGTCTATTGCAGACTATGCCTGCAAATAGCTTTCCTATGATATCTAGTAAGAAGATACTTCTATAGTTGCTTGGGTCGCATCTTAAACCTTTATTTTTATATATACTTATTACATCTGCATCTATCCAGTGGTCTGGCATAGTGCATGGATTTTTCCATATCTGATTCATTATTTTCTGTAGTATGTTATTTGGTTTATCACCCTGTTTATCATCCCTGTGCTGCCCCTTCCAGCCAAACTGGTTGGTGAAGCCTATTGGCCCTTCTGGAGAAGAGGCTACAATGAAGCAAGGCACAACTACCGGGGCTCAATAGCTGTTTTCGCAGTTATTTTTTTCTTTGGCTTTACTTCCTGTCCGGTGATTGCTGACCACCTATGTACTACATAGCAGTGATTGATTATGCCTTTTTTAGTTGGTAAAGTTTTGTTGCAGCCTGGGTATGGACATTTATTTTGATCGTTTTTGGAGTCTATTTTATTAACTTTGTTTTTTGGTTCAGCTTTAGCTAGGTTACATTGTGGGTGGCATGATTGCATGTGTCTAATTAACCAACCCAACGTCTTATACGTCTTATTACAGTCAGATAGGGGACAGCTATATAGGGACTCACTGTTAGTTTTATTTTGGTGATCATTTCTAAGGTGTCTGTTCATTTCTTTAATTGTAGCAAACATTCTGTTACAGTTTGCATTTTGACATACATGCTTCATTTGGCGTTTTCCTATAATTTTGGGGAAATACTCTTGGTGAGTATTTATTTTAACCTTGTTGGGTTGGTTTATCCAGTTGCTAGGAAGGCGTTCGCCCATTTCCTTAATGTCTTGAAGCAGTTGTCTTAGCCAGTTTCTAGTATGAGCCTTCCTATTGTTGCACTGGTTTTCAAAGTTGCTATTTAAAGACCTCACCATTAGGTTATTTGGTCTTTTATGTGCCACATACCACAAGTTTAGTCTGTTTTGCATGATTTTATTGGCTAAGTTTGGTAAGTTTATTTTATGTCTAAGTTGTTCAACAGTAAGTTGTTTTCTATCATTTATACCTAAAATTATACGTCTTACTGTATTTAACACCGCTTCTAGTCTAGACCAATCCTGTTTTCTTAGTACTATGGATTCTAGACCGTATGTAAGAATGGGGATTATTGAAGAATCCACCAGCTTCATTTTGGTATCAAGGCTAAGTTCTTTAGATTTTAGTATTGGTTTAATTTTAATTATTGCATTTTTTGCCTTTTCTATGTTGTAGGTGATAGCACTATCCGGAGTTCCTTTGTTATTTATGGTTGAACCAAGATAGTGGAAGGATTCTACTTCTTCTATATCCTTGTTGCCTATTTTGACATTTGCTGAGTTACCTTTCTTATTTATTATCATGTATTTAGTCTTGGAGATTGATATCTCCATACCAATACTGGTTAAGTATTGCTGTAGGTGGTTTAGGGCTTTGGTAGCCTCTTCCGTTGTATTAGTGATTAAGCATAAGTCATCAGCATATTCTAGATGCTTAATTGTCCAAGTTTTATTATGCTGATCCCTTAGGGTGACTCCTTTTAAAGTTTTATCTATTGTATGTTCCAATATGTTTTGGAATACTAGGTTAAAGATGGCCGGACCTTCTTTACTACCCTGTCTAACTCCCCTATGCATTGTGAAATTTAGTTCAGTATTTCTTAGATGTCCCTTAGGATTGTCTAATAGTTTAGTTATACAGGAATTTATATTGTTTGATGGGCATATTTTAGCTAAGGTGTCTATTATTAATTGTTTAGGAATGGTATCGAAGGCTTTAGTTAAGTCAACGAAGGTTAGGACTATAGTGCAGTTTGTGTCTATTGAGGTTTGAATTAGGTGTCTTAACGTTGTGATTGCGTGAATTGTAGATAAGTTTTTTCTAAATCCGAATTGAGTTATTGGAAGGTAATTATCTGTTTGTTGAACAAGCCTATTGCAGACTATGCCTGCAAATAGCTTACCTATTGTGTCCAGTAAGAAAATACTTCTGTAGTTATTAGGGTCTGATCTTAGTCCTTTATTTTTGTATATGCTTATCACCTCTGCATCTAGCCAGTGGTCTGGCATAGTGCATGGGTTTTTCCATATCTTGTTCATTATATTGAGTAGCATGTCAGTTAGTTTATAACCTCCTTGCTTTATCATTTCGGTTGTTATGCCGTTGCTACCAGGGGTAGTTTGATTTTTCATATTTTTTAAGCCAAGTTTTATTTCATCTAGTGTTAGTTCAGGAACTTCGGTAGTTTTTAAAGGGACTTGGGTATTATTTAGGTTTAATTTAGCATTAAATAGGTTTTGGTAGTGATATTGAAGATCACTATCTTTAACTTGATTTGTTCTCTTAGCCTTGTATGAGTGGTTCCGTATAGTAGCCAATATATCATCTAGCATTTTATATGTTAAGTGTAAGTCATGTTTCTTAAAGTATGAGTTCATCTCACTTATTCTGTCTTTGATATATTGGTCTTTGGCTAATTTAACCTTGTTTTTAACTATTTTACTAGTCTGCATATATAGATTTTTATTAGTGGTTGTAGGATTGTTTAGCCAGTTTAGTCTTAGTTGTTTTCTATGTTTAATCTCTTCCTTTAAGAGATTACCTATGTTGTGTTGCCATCTCTTGGTGGCCGACTTATAAGGGATTGCAGCTTTATGAGCCGCTTGTATCATCGTCTTTTCGATTTGGTTGAGATTATGGTTATTTTGGAGTAGGTTATTTAGTATATTTGGGTATTCTGGATTCAAGGCGTGTATAGCCTTACGTTGCCTTTGTTTACGTTTGCTATTAGTGTTAGGAATCTTATTATAATTTAGATATTTTAGTTTAAGTATGGTTGTGACCATGTAATGATCGGTATTCGCTTCCATTGAGCGACTATTGTGAATGTCACTAACCATTATTCTAGAGTTATTTTCTGTTAGTACTAGGTCTATTATATGTCCGGTTTGGGTTTTTGGATGTACCCATGTGTGAGTCTTGTGAGCTGGTTTAGTAATGAACGTGTTCATTACTCGCAGACTCAATGTTTCGCATAAGTTTATTAGTCTTATGCCATTCGCAGACGTTTCCGGCTCAAGATTGTTTGCTTTTCCTACGATATTAGGGTAGTAAGTGTGAAGGTCCTGGCCCAGCCTACAGTTGAAGTCGCCTAGAACTAGTATTGGAAGTTTATTTGATTTGAGTTGTTTTATTGTATTTTTGAGTTTAAGATAGAATTTGTCTTTACTGATATCTTCACTAGAAGACTCAGTTGGGGCATAGCAGCCAATAAGGTTAATAGTTTGGCTAGTGGCTAAACTACGTATTTTAATGGTGGCTATCCTACCGTCTATTTCTTTAAAGTCAGTGGCGGTAACCATTGAGTGGTTACTAACGACGAAGCCGACACCGGTGTTCCGGTAGTCGTTGATGTTTGGGTTGCAGTTGTATAGAGTTGCACTGTTATCTATTTCGATGGTTTTGGAGACCATCCTAGTTTCCGTGATCACTGCTATGTGGTACTTGCGTTCAGCTATTTGCTCTGCTATCTCTTGGAGTTTGCTTTCTTGTGAGCAACCCCGGACATTCCATAAACCAATTTTAAGTTTTTGGTAATTTTGGGCATTTTTTTTGTCTTTTTTTATTCCAGGTATAATTGTGCAATGATTCTTTGTAGCGTTCGTAATCAGGGGTGGGTATAGATAGAGAGGGTGATTAGCCCGATCTCCACCACCCGGGTTACCGCTCACGTTGGTTCATGGAATCAGTCCCATGATCCAGGAGGCACGACGAGGACGTGTGAGTCGGATTTTGCCTCCCATCCGTGTGGTGCCCCTTCCAGCCAAACTAGTTGGTGAAGCCTAGTAGGCCCTTCTGGAGAAGAGGCTACATCGAAGCACGGCACAACTACCGGGGCGCAATAGCTGTTTTTGCATTATTTTTTGTCTTTGGTTTTACTTCCTGTCCGGTGATTGCTGACCACTTATGTACTACATAGCAGTGATTTATTATACCTTTTTTAGTTGGTAAAGTTTTGTTGCAGCCTGGGTATGGACATTTATTTTTGTCGTTTTTGGAGTTTATTTTATTAACTGGTTTTGGGTTCAGCTTTAGTTAGATTATATTTTGGTTGGCATGACTGCATGTGTCTATTTAACCAACCCAACGTCTTATACGTTTTATTACAGTCAGTTAAGGGACAGCTATATTGGGACTCACTATTAGTTTTATTTTGGTGGTCGTTTCTAATGTGTCTGTTCATTTCTTTCATTGTAGCAAACATTCTGTTACAGTTTGCATTTTGGCATACATGGTTCAGCTGGCGTTTCCCTATTATTTTTGGAAAGTGTTCTTGATATGCGTTTATTTTAACCTTGTTGGGTTGGTTTATCCAGTTACTAGGAAGGCGCTCACCCATTTCTTTAATGTCTTGAAATAGTTGTCTTAGCCAGTTTTTAGTATGGGCCTTCCTATTGTTGCACTGATTTTCAAAGATACTATACAAAGACCTCACCATTAGGTTATTTGGTCTTTTATGCGCTACATACCACAAGTTTAGTCTGTTTTGCATGATTTTACTGGCTAAATTTGGTAAGTTTATTTTAAGTCTAAGTTGCTCAACAGTAAGTTGTTTTCTATCATTTATACCTAAAATTATACGTCTTACTGTATTTAACACCGCTTCTAGTCTAGACCAATCTTGCTTTCTTAGTACTGTTGATTCTAGACCATATGTGAGAATGGGGATTTTTGAGGAATCCACCATCTTGGCTTTGGTATCAAGGTTGAGTTCTTTAGATTTAAGTATTGGTTTAATTTTAATTATTGCATTTTTTGCTTTTTCTATATTATAGGTGACAGCACTATCCGGAGTACCTTTGTTATTTATGGTTGAACCAAGATAGTGGAAGGATTCTACTTCTTCTATATCCTTGTTGTTTATTTTGACATTTGATGTGATAGCTTTTTTATTTATTATCATATATTTAGTCTTGGAGATTGATATCTCCATACCAATACTGGTTAAGTATTGTTGTAGGTGGTTTAAGGCTTTGGTAGCCTCCTCCGTTGTGTTAGTAAGTAAACATAAATCGTCTGCATATTCTAAATGTTTAATTGTCCAAATCTTGTTATATTGGTCTTTAAGAGTCACTCCTTTTAGGGTTTTGTCTATCGTTTGTTCTAATATTTTTTGAAAGACTAAGTTAAAGATAGCCGGACCTTCTTTACTACCCTGTCTCACTCCCCTTTTCATCGTGAAGTTTAGTTCTGAATTTTTTAGATAACCCTTGGGGTCATCTAATAGTTTGGTTATACAGGAGTTTATATTTTTTGAAGGGCATAGTTTATTTAGAGTATTTAGGATTATTTGTTTGGGTATCGTATCAAACGCTTTAGTTAAGTCCACAAAGGTGAGTACTATAGTTCTATTTGTATCTATAGAGGATTGAATTATATGTCTTAAGGTCGTTATTGCTTGGACTGTGGACAGATTTTTTCTAAAACCAAATTGGGTTATTGGGAGATATTTATCTGTTAGTTGGACAAGTCTATTGCAGACTATGCCTGCGAATAGCTTTCCTATCGTATCTAGTAAGAAGATACTTCTATAGTTGTTTGGATCGGATCTTAAACCTTTATTTTTATATATACTTATTACATCTGCATCTATCCAGTGGTCTGGCATAGTGCATGGATTTTTCCATATCTGATTCATGATTTTTAGTAGTATGTTATTTAGTTTATCACCGCCTTGCTTTATCATTTCACTAGTTATGCCATTATTGCCAGGCGTAGTTTGATTTTTCATTTTTTTCAAACTTTGATTTATTTCATTTATAGTAAGTTCAGAGTCGTTGGTGGTTTTTACCGGCAATTGGATATTATCTTGGTTTAGTTTAGCATTGAATAGGTTTTGGTAGTGATATTGAAGATCACTATCTTTAACTTGATTTGTTCTCTTAGCCTTGTATGAGTGGTTCCGTATAGTAGCCAATATATCATCTAGCATTTTATGTGTTAAGTGTAAGTCATGTTTCTTAAAGTATGAGTTCATCTCACTTATTCTGTCTTTGATATATTGGTCTTTGGCTAATTTAACCTTGTTTTTAACTATTTTACTAGTCTGCATATATAGATTTTTATTAGTGGTTGTAGGATTGTTTAGCCAGTTTAGTCTTAGTTGTTTTCTATGTTTAATCTCTTCCTTTAAGAGATTACCTATGTTGTGTTGCCATCTCTTGGTGGCCGACTTATAAGGGATTGCAGCTTTATGAGCCGCTTGTATCATCGCCTTTTCGATTTGGTTGAGATTATGGTTATTTTGGAGTAAGTTATTTAGTATATTTGGGTATTCTGGATTCAAGGCGTGTATAGCCTTACGTTGCCTTTGTTTACGTTTGCTATTAGTGTTAGGAATCTTATTATAATTTAGATATTTTAGTTTAAGTATGGTTGTGACCATGTAATGATCGGTATTCGCTTCCATTGAGCGACTATTGTGAATGTCACTAACCATTATTCTAGAGTTATTTTCTGTTAGTACTAGGTCTATTATATGTCCGGTTTGGGTTTTTGGATGTACCCATGTGTGAGTCTTGTGAGCTGGTTTAGTAATGAACGTGTTCATTACTCGCAGACTCAATGTTTCGCATAAGTTTATTAGTCTTATGCCATTCGCAGACGTTTCCGGCTCAAGATTGTTTGCTTTTCCTACGATATTAGGGTAGTAAGTGTGAAGGTCCTGGCCCAGCCTACAGTTGAAGTCGCCTAGAACTAGTATTGGAAGTTTATTTGATTTGAGTTGTTTTATTGTATTTTTGAGTTTAAGATAGAATTTGTCTTTACTGATATCTTCACTAGAAGACTCAGTTGGGGCATAGCAGCCAATAAGGTTAATAGTTTGGCTAGTGGCTAAACTACGTATTTTAATGGTGGCTATCCTACCGTCTATTTCTTTAAAGTCAGTGGCGGTAACCATTGAGTGGTTACTAACGACGAAGCCGACACCGGTGTTCCGGTAGTCGTTGATGTTTGGGTTGCAGTTGTATAGAGTTGCACTGTTATCTATTTCGATGGTTTTGGAGACCATCCTAGTTTCCGTGATCACTGCTATGTGGTACTTGCGTTCAGCTATTTGCTCTGCTATCTCTTGGAGTTTGCTTTCTTGTGAGCAACCCCGGACATTCCATAAACCAATTTTAAGTTTTTGGTAATTTTGGGCATTTTTTTTGTCTTTTTTTATTCCAGGTATATTTGTGCAATGATTCTTTGTAGCGTTCGTAATCAGGGGTGGGTATAGGTAGAGAGGGTGATTAGCCCGATCTCCACCACCCGGGTTACCGCTCACGTTAGTTCATGGAATCAGTCCCATGATCCAGGAGGCACGACGAGGACGTGTGAGTCGGATTTTGCCTCCCATCCGTGTGGTGCCCCTTCCAGCCAAACTAGTTGGTGAAGCCTAGTAGGCCCTTCTGGAGAAGAGGCTACATCGAAGCACGGCACAACTACCGGGGCGCAATAGCTGTTTTTGCATTATTTTTTGTCTTTGGTTTTACTTCCTGTCCGGTGATTGCTGACCACTTATGTACTACATAGCAGTGATTTATTATACCTTTTTTAGTTGGTAAAGTTTTGTTGCAGCCTGGGTATGGACATTTATTTTTGTCGTTTTTGGAGTTTATTTTATTAACTGGTTTTGGGTTCAGCTTTAGTTAGATTATATTTTGGTTGGCATGACTGCATGTGTCTATTTAACCAACCCAACGTCTTATACGTTTTATTACAGTCAGTTAAGGGACAGCTATATTGGGACTCACTATTAGTTTTATTTTGGTGGTCGTTTCTAATGTGTCTGTTCATTTCTTTCATTGTAGCAAACATTCTGTTACAGTTTGCATTTTGGCATACATGGTTCAGCTGGCGTTTCCCTATTATTTTTGGAAAGTGTTCTTGATATGCGTTTATTTTAACCTTGTTGGGTTGGTTTATCCAGTTACTAGGAAGGCGCTCACCCATTTCTTTAATGTCTTGAAATAGTTATCTTAGCCAGTTTTTAGTATGGGCCTTCCTATTGTTGCACTGATTTTCAAAGTTACTATACAAAGACCTCACCATTAGGTTATTTGGTCTTTTATGCGCTACATACCACAAGTTTAGTCTGTTTTGCATGATTTTACTGGCTAAATTTGGTAAGTTTATTTTAAGTCTAAGTTGCTCAACAGTAAGTTGTTTTCTATCATTTATACCTAAAATTATACGTCTTACTGTATTTAACACCGCTTCTAGTCTAGACCAATCTTGCTTTCTTAGTACTGTTGATTCTAGACCATATGTGAGAATGGGGATTTTTGAGGAATCCACCATCTTGGCTTTGGTATCAAGGTTGAGTTCTTTAGATTTAAGTATTGGTTTAATTTTAATTATTGCATTTTTTGCTTTTTCTATATTATAGGTGACAGCACTATCCGGAGTACCTTTGTTATTTATGGTTGAACCAAGATAGTGGAAGGATTCTACTTCTTCTATATCCTTGTTGTTTATTTTGACATTTGATGTGATAGCTTTTTTATTTATTATCATATATTTAGTCTTGGAGATTGATATCTCCATACCAATACTGGTTAAGTATTGTTGTAGGTGGTTTAAGGCTTTGGTAGCCTCCTCCGTTGTGTTAGTAAGTAAACATAAATCGTCTGCATATTCTAAATGTTTAATTGTCCAAATCTTGTTATATTGGTCTTTAAGAGTCACTCCTTTTAGGGTTTTGTCTATCGTTTGTTCTAATATTTTTTGAAAGACTAAGTTAAAGATAGCCGGACCTTCTTTACTACCCTGTCTCACTCCCCTTTTCATCGTGAAGTTTAGTTCTGAATTTTTTAGATAACCCTTGGGGTCATCTAATAGTTTGGTTATACAGGAGTTTATATTTTTTGAAGGGCATAGTTTATTTAGAGTATTTAGGATTATTTGTTTGGGTATCGTATCAAACGCTTTAGTTAAGTCCACAAAGGTGAGTACTATAGTTCTATTTGTATCTATAGAGGATTGAATTATATGTCTTAAGGTCGTTATTGCTTGGACTGTGGACAGATTTTTTCTAAAACCAAATTGGGTTATTGGGAGATATTTATCTGTTAGTTGGACAAGTCTATTGCAGACTATGCCTGCGAATAGCTTTCCTATCGTATCTAGTAAGAAGATACTTCTATAGTTGTTTGGATCGGATCTTAAACCTTTATTTTTATATATACTTATTACATCTGCATCTATCCAGTGGTCTGGCATAGTGCATGGATTTTTCCATATCTGATTCATGATTTTTAGTAGTATGTTATTTAGTTTATCACCGCCTTGCTTTATCATTTCACTAGTTATGCCATTATTGCCAGGCGTAGTTTGATTTTTCATTTTTTTCAAACTTTGATTTATTTCATTTATAGTAAGTTCAGAGTCGTTGGTGGTTTTTACCGGCAATTGGATATTATCTTGGTTTAGTTTAGCATTGAATAGGTTTTGGTAGTGATATTGAAGATCACTATCTTTAATTTGATTAGCTCTTTTAGCTTTGTATGAGTGGTTTCGTATAGTAGCCAGTATATCATCTACCATTTTGTATGCTAAGTGCAGGTCATGTTTCTCAAAGTATGTGTTCATCTCATTTATTTTATCTTTGATATACTGGTCTTTAGCTAGTTTAATCTTATTATTCACTATTTTACTAGCTTGCATATAGAGGCTTTTATTAGCAGCTGTAGGATTATTTAGCCACTTTAGTCTTAGTTGTCTTCTATGTTTAATTTCGTCTTTTAATAGATTGCTTATGTTATACTGCCATCTCTTGGTGGCCGACTTATATGGGATAGCAGCTTTGTTAGCTGCTTGAGTTATGGCTCTTTCTACTTGGTTTAATTGGCATTTATTTTGGAGTAAGGTGTCTAGTATCTTTGGGTAGTCTGGAGTCAAGGTGTGGATCGCCTTACTCTGTTTTCTTTTGGGTTTACTTTTATCATTAAAAGTCTTATTATTATTTAGATACTTTAGTTTCAGTATGGTTGTGATCGTATAATGATCTGAGTTTGCTTCCATAGAACGGCTGTTATGAATATCACAGACCAATAGTTTTGAATTATTTTCTGTTATCACTAGGTCTATGACATGTCCCATTTGGGTTTTCGGATGTACCCAGGTATGGGTCCTGTGTTCTGGTTTAGTGATGAACGAGTTCATTACTCGCAGGTTTAAAGTTTTACATAAGTTTATTAGTTTCATGCCATTTTCTGATGTTTCAGTTTCAAGTTTAATAGCTTTCCCTATAATGTTAGGGTAGTAAGTATGAAGGTCCTGGCTTAGCCTGCAATTGTAGTCTCCCAGGATCAGTATAGGAAGTTTATTTAGTTTAAGCTTTTTAATTGTGTCTTTTAGTTTGAGATAGAATTTTTCTTTACTAACTTCATCATTAGAAGACTCGGTTGGGGCGTAGCAACCGATAAGGTTAATAGTCTGCTTGGCAGTTTTACTGTGTATTTTAATGGTAGCTATTCTGCCATCTATCTCTTCAAAATCGGTGACAGTTATCATAGATTGGTCATTTACCAGAAAACCAACACCAGTATTTCGGTAGTCATTAATGTTTGGGTTAGAGTTATAAAAGCTCAAGCCGCTGTTATCCATATCAATAATTTTAGAGGTCATTCTAGTTTCCGTGATCACTGCTATGTGGTACTTGCGTTCAGCTATTTGCTCTGCTATCTCTTGGAGTTTGCTTTCTTGTGAGCAACCCCGGACATTCCATAAACCAATTTTAAGTTTTTGGTAATTTTGGGCATTTTTTTTGTCTTTTTTTATTCCAGGTATAATTGTGCAATGATTCTTTGTAGCGTTCGTAATCAGGGGTGGGTATAGATAGAGAGGGTGATTAGCCCGATCTCCACCACCCGGGTTACCGCTCACGTTGGTTCATGGAATCAGTCCCATGATCCAGGAGGCACGACGAGGACGTGTGAGTCGGATTTTGCCTCCCATCCGTGTGGTGCCCCTTCCAGCCAAACTAGTTGGTGAAGCCTAGTAGGCCCTTCTGGAGAAGAGGCTACATCGAAGCACGGCACAACTACCGGGGCGCAATAGCTGTTTTTGCATTATTTTTTGTCTTTGGTTTTACTTCCTGTCCGGTGATTGCTGACCACTTATGTACTACATAGCAGTGATTTATTATACCTTTTTTAGTTGGTAAAGTTTTGTTGCAGCCTGGGTATGGACATTTATTTTGATCGTTTTTGGAGTTTATTTTATTAACTGGTTTTGGGTTCAGCTTTAGTTAGATTATATTGTAGGTGGCATGACTGCATGTGTCTATTTAACCAACCCAACGTCTTATACGTTTTATTACAGTCAGTTAAGGGACAGCTATATTGGGACTCACTATTAGTTTTATTTTGGTGGTCGTTTCTAATGTGTCTGTTCATTTCTTTCATTGTAGCAAACATTCTGTTACAGTTTGCATTTTGGCATACATGGTTCAGCTGGCGTTTCCCTATTATTTTTGGAAAGTGTTCTTGATATGCGTTTATTTTAACCTTGTTGGGTTGGTTTATCCAGTTACTAGGAAGGCGCTCACCCATTTCTTTAATGTCTTGAAATAGTTGTCTTAGCCAGTTTTTAGTATGGGCCTTCCTATTGTTGCACTGATTTTCAAAGTTACTATACAAAAACCTCACCATTAGGTTATTTGGTCTTTTATGCGCTACATACCACAAGTTTAGTCTGTTTTGCATGATTTTACTGGCTAAGTTCGGTAAGTTTATTTTAAGTTTAAGTTGCTCAGCAGTATATTGTTTTCTATCGTTTATATTTAGAATTATTCGTCATACTGTATTTAACACCGCTTCTAGTCTAGACCAATCTTGCTTTCTTAGTACTATTGATTCTAGACCATATGTGAGAATGGGGATTTTTGAGGAATCCACCATCTTGGCTTTGGTATCAAGGTTGAGTTCTTTAGATTTAAGTATTGGTTTAATTTTAATTATTGAATTTTTTTGTTATGACTCGTATAACAATCGTTATTGTATATGAAACGTGCAACGATACAGAAAATACGTACGAGCAGTCTTGATTGCTATTCGGTCCTTCCTAACTGCCTAGCCCAGCCAGTTGAGTCCAGAACACAAATAACAGCCTCGGAAATATGAATCATTATTCACAAGCACACTGGGTTATATATACTAACCAAACAGACCCAATTATACCAAAAAATAGAAAAATAACATTTGTACAGTAATTGGCCAATGTGGCTGTAGCTAGGGGGAAAGTAATCAATAATAATAGTTCCAAGGTCAAAACAAAGGTTGTGATAAGAGGAACATGGAAACGATTAGGTCACTTATTTAACAACTATCCAATAGGGAATGGGCATATTGTATTTGTCCATAAATAGACATCAGATTTAGGTTACTCATTTAACAACTATCCAATAGGAATAGGCGTATTACATTTGTCCATAAATGGACATCAGATTTATGATTCATAATTCGCCAGGGGATACAACACCTCCCCTTTTTGAGAAATCCGGATTTTTAATTTCCTCGAATTCACCCTCCCCCACGAAAGACTGTTGGATCCTCATATAGCCAAGTTACTATTAATGCGATATGTTTGTCACCTTTAACAGGGAATGCATTAGAACTGAAGAGATCATGAGGATCGACGACATTTGATTCGAGGTCACCAACATTTGATTCTTCTGAAATAGTTTCCTTGAATTTCCTCGGAACCTCATTAGTAGATAATGAATCATTAGGATAATCAGTATCTATGAGAGTTGTATTGGATTCTTGATTATCATTAAATACATCTGACATTTTTCTCTCATTTTTATAAGAGAATTCAACAGAAACATATGAATCATCAAAATAATCTAAATCTGGTAGAACAATTACAGAATTCTGATCATTAGATTCATTAGAAACATTTTCCGTATCATGATTAATTTCATTTGGTGCCACTGTATTCCATATACTGCTCGATTTGTTTCCCGTTTCTTCGTGGGCGGGTACTGCAGCAATTTCATGAGCATTTTGCAAGACATTTACTTTCTGTGAATAGGATAATTCATTGTTTGCACGTCCGTTTTCGGGATTAATAAGACTTGGACCGTGTACAGGGCATGTCTCTGAAACAGGTAGTACTGGGTTACTGGGCTGATCATGTATAACTGCTGCGCTTAAATTATTGCTTTGTATGGATTCATTGAGGCTTTCGCCGGCATATTCATTAGTTCTGTAACTGTTTTCCAGCTCTGTACGCAATTTTGAGATTATTGCGTCAACTTCCGTTTCACCCCCAAAGCCTGGGTGATTCAGCAGCTTCGCGTGTAATTTGTCAATGAAATCCAATTGACTCTTTCTGAAGCGCTGCTCTTGTCGATGGATTAGCAACTGAAATTGGTCGGAGGTTAAAGCCATATTTTTTTATGCAAATAATAATAATAAATCCAAAAAACACCGGCAATTATCATGGATTATTTAATTTCGAAATGACGTCAGCGGCTGCTGTATTTTCTTTCCAGAATCCCCGTCGCCAATTGTTATGAACGTATAACAATCGTTATTGTATATGAAACGTGCAATGATACAGAAAATACGTACGAGCAGTCTTGATTGCTATTCGGTCCTTCCTAACTGCCTAGCCCAGCCAGTTGAGTCCAGAACACAAATAACAGCCTCGGAAATATGAATCATTATTCACAAGCACACTGGGTTATATATACTAACCAAACAGACCCAATTATACCAAAAAATAGAAAAATAACATTTGTACAGTAATTGGCCAATGTGGCTGTAGCTAGGGGGAAAGTAATCAATAATAATAGTTCCAAGGTCAAAACAAAGGTTGTGATAAGAGGAACACGGAAACGATTAGGTCACTTATTTAACAACTATCCAATAGGGAATGGGCATATTGTATTTGTCCATAAATAGACATCAGATTTAGGTTACTCATTTAACAACTATCCAATAGGAATAGGCGTATTACATTTGTCCATAAATGGACATCAGATTTATGATTCATAATTCGCCAGGGGATACAACACCTCCCCTTTTTGAGAAATCCGGATTTTTAATTTCCTCGAATTCACCCTCCCCCACGAAAGACTGTTGGATCCTCATATAGCCAAGTTACTATTAATGCGATATGTTTGTCACCTTTAACAGGGAATGCATTAGAACTGAAGAGATCATGAGGATCGACGACATTTGATTCGAGGTCACCAACATTTGATTCTTCTGAAATAGTTTCCTTGAATTTCCTCGGAACCTCATTAGTAGATAATGAATCATTAGGATAATCAGTATCTATGAGAGTTGTATTGGATTCTTGATTATCATTAAATACATCTGACATTTTTCTCTCATTTTTATAAGAGAATTC